AGGAAGAGGGTAAAGTGACTAAAGAGCTGATAGAGGGTTCCTGTCACGTCATTATCCGAGATAAGCAAACTGCAGCCACCCGAAACGTGCAAAGACCACGAAACACCAGCAGACGCAGTGATACACCTAGATCTCTCAGCTACAGCAGCAGCATGTACAGCACAATTGGAAACTCTGCAATCAACACAACAAACCTGAAGATCAAACTCAGCAGTTTAGAAAATGAACAGGTTTGATTATTTCCATTCAATTCTATTTCCCATAATCCCAAAATAAAATATCAGCATTCATGTTATTCAATATTATTTCTGCAGGCAAATGTTCTGGTGGTCCCCATGCTCAACAAGCAGCTGACTTCGACAAATATTGGCAAGAGTTTGTTGGCCAAAGCTGGGAATGTATTAAAGGTAAAGTTTGATTCAGTCTTAGCCAGTTGTGCCCTCGCCCCTGGTGATGTTCAGCTGGTTGATGCACCTCCATCTCTGGGCTGCTCCAAGATTTTCTTCATTGAGTGCTTGCCTTGGGACGGAGTAAGAGGAAAGAGTGTTCAGGTAAAATTAAGGACTTTTATTAACACTTCTAATGATGGATAAGAGCTACTTCATATTTAATTTACTTTCAGGAAACCAATGAAATGCATCAATGAATTTCCTTTGGGAATAGTAAATGAATAGAAAATTATGAAATTAAATAAATCTCATTGCTGTGTATAGTTGAAAGGTTGGAATAACTTGATGTTATATACCACAAACTCCAAGCCAGGACTTATGCAAACAAATTTACGTTTTTTGTGCAGCCTCAAGGTTTTCGTTGTGTGCTCAGTTGCAGTGTGCAATCCAAGAGTTAAGTTTGAAAACATAGTTAAAAATATGTAACTTTTGATTTGCAGGCTCTTGGTAATGGTTTGAAGAAGTGTCTGGAGCTTTGTGTACGGCAGAATTTTGGTTCAGTGGCCATTCCAATCATTGGGCCAGGAATTGTTTTAAACTACCCACTGAGAGAAGCAATTCAAGTGTTGACTGACATCATTCACCAGTTTGGATTATCTGCATCCTCTGGCTCTCTTACAAACGTCCACATTGTCATTAAACCTGGTTACCCTGATTCTGAGGAGGTAACCCTTACTTGATGGCCTGTATCTGATCTGTAACATGCAGGCATCAATTATTTATTGTGTTATATCTGTGTTTTTATCTACAGTGCTACCACGATGTCTACAGACAGCTCAGCTTAAATATGAACCAGGGAGGCCAAGGTAAACTAGCACTACTCAGACTGTCTTTATTATGTGACATTAATGCATAGTGAGCAGATAAAAAGCATTTAGCCTGTGCCATATTTTACCATCTTCATTAGTACCCTCAGTTATCAGATTAAATATCAAACAATAGCTAATGTGTGGTGTTCTTCCTCTAAGCAATCTTCAGGTCCCTCACCAGTGACTTGGATGACATAACCATGACAGTGGAAAGTGGGGTTAAACTACATGTGGTGTTTGGTGACATAACCAATGAAACTACAGATGTTGTAGTGAACACAACAGACTTCCAAAATTTTATCCTTGGTAAGTGAAACTGAGGATGCACACAAGTGCATAGCATAGTGAGCAGGAGGATCATGTTGTAACTGTGACATCATTTTTTTAGCCACAATGGTGGCATAGCTCTCTACGAATTTCAAAGGTAAACACATGTTCATGAATGTTTGCTCAGAAATGGGGATGTCTTTTTAAACATGATCTTTGAAGATCCTAGGGGCGATCGTGGCTCAAGAGTTGGGAGTTCGCCTTGTAATCAGAAGGTTGCTGGTTCGAGCCCCGGCTCTGACAGTCTCGATCGTTGTGTCCTTGGGCAAGACACTTGACCCAAGTGTCTTGCCTACTGGTGGTGGTCAGAGGGTCCGGTGGCGCCAGTGTCCGGCAGCCTCGCCTCTGTCGGTGCGCCCCAGGGTGGCTGTGGCTACAATGTAGCTTGCCATCACCAGTGTGTGAATGGGTGGATGACTGAATGTGTAAAGCACTTTGGGGTCCTTAGGGACTAGTAAAGCGCTATACAAATACAGGCCATTTACCATTTTTACCATCCAAGTTTTCATCTAGTATTATCAGCAGGCCACTTATTTTAAGATCAAATACTTACTTGTATTTTAAATCTCGTACATGGTTGTAGTTTAATATTTTTGTGCAAGTGCTGACCAGGCAAATTCAGTCGGAACAAGTTTGGTGGATGACAAAATGCAAAGCAGAGATTTATGGGCATTGTTGAAGACAAACAGGAGAACAAGGCAAAAGAACAAACTGAGTCAGTAACAGTTGGGCAGGTAAACAGAGATGAACTGGTATGCTGCCTGTCAAATCAACTGGCCATAAGCAATTCATGATTTCCAGCCAAAAAAAAGTTGATGGGGATTACCCTTTAACTTCTAAAGTATCATTTCCCATAAATGCTTGTGATTTGATTCGGAAATAGAAACAAATCATGTTGCTTGATGAGTCACTGTAAGCAGGAAGCAAAACTAAGGAAGAATGTCTGATATTACACAACATGTATCTGCAATGTGCATGTTGTCTACAGCTATTTGGTGGATTGCAATTAAACTGATGTAAAAAATTAGGGGTGGGGCTCAATGAACTTAATTAATTAATTAATCAAATTTATTATAGGATTTGTAATCATCTAATCTCGTTTAATGCCATTTAATTGCCTTTGGAGTTTTACCAGCTTTGATGGAGTTAAAATGACTAGCTTGTGCTTTTGTTTGTCTAAAGCAGCAAAAACAGCCTCTTGATTCTTTATCCAATCCAACTTTATTTATATAGCACTTTAAAAACAACAAAGTTGACCAAAGTTCTTTCCAATAATAAAACAGAGATAGCAGTTAAAAACCATACATTAAGCATACAATAAAATTAATATAAATAAAATAAATACATAAATGAAAAAGAAGATAAATAAATCAGTGTATATATTAAATATTAAAACATGAGTAAAATAAACAATAAGATATACAATGAATAAGATTAACAAAATGAAAGGATTAAGAGTGACCAACAGCTAACTACAAACTGACTCTGGTAATACTCCTAAAAAGCCTTTGAAAAAAGGTGTGTTTTTAAAAGTGATTTAAACATTTCAAGTGTTGGGGCCAACCTAATATGGAGGGGCGGTTTGTTCCATAGTTTGGGGGCCACAACAGCGAAAGCTCGGTCCCCTCGGTGTTTCAGTTTCGACATGGGGACAGCAAGGTGTGACTGGACAGATGATCTGAGAGACCTTTATGGAGTGTATCGGTGTAGAAGGTCTGACAGGTAAGAAGGAGCCAGGCCATTTAAAATTTAAAAAGCAAGCAATAAAATTTTAAAATGAATTCTAAAATGGACAGGCAACCAGTGTAAGGAGGCAAGAACAAGGGTAATGTGCTCACGTTTGTGTGTCCCTGTCAACAGGCGAGCAGCAGCATTCTGGACCATTTGCAAGCGTGATAGTGAAGCCTGCTCAATACCAATATAAAGTCCATTACAATAATCAAGGCGAGTGGTCACAAATGCATGCCAAACTCTCTCCAAGTCACGAAAAGAAATAAAAGGTTTAACTTTAGAGACCTGTCTCAACTGAAAAAAGCTTTTTCTCACAACTGTATTTACTTGTTTGTCCATTTTAAGAGCTGTGTCAAATTTTACTCCAAGGTTGGTGACAATTGGTTTGACAAAGGATGTAAGAGGACCCAAGTCAGATGGAGGGACACCAGGTCCATTCGGCCCAAATATAATATAAGCAAGTAGATGAGAAACTATATCCAGCTTTGAATTCCACCATGTGGAAACATCCTGTATGAGTGACACTTTCTGTTGCTGTCTTGTTTGCTTCTGGTGTAGTTCCTCCATATTAGCAGGGCTGTTTCCAATGCATCTAATTTTGCTTGCTTTTCAGTGTCATAAAGCTGTTGAATTTTACTTGAAATAGCCGTTCGGCACGGCAGCTGTGAAGTTGGATCACCTGACGCTAACTGTAGCACATTTTCTAACCCCTATCTTCTACCACTGATAGTGTTCTACAGTCCAGAGTAATCCATTTTGCAAGAGAATTTGTAAGTTTGTCCAATGATGACTTGCTAATTTTGGTCCTTAAGCCAGTCATTTCATCACATTTGGGCTGCCGACACCTTTTGTTGGTATTCGAACTGCTAGAGCTAACAGCTCCCACAGTTTCGTGCTTGCTGCAACATGTTTTGCAATTAGATGGTACCGTAAAGTTGAAGTGCTTCATGGTACGCAAACTCCTTTTTGCACAGTTTGCATAAAACCATGCTTTTATCAAGGCTTCCGTCAGGTAGTCTTTTGAAATTAAATTTGCCTCCGATCAGTCACAGCAAGTCACTTTATTCTGATTCTTTTTACCTCTGATGTGTGCATCAGTGTAATCTAGTGATGTTCGATTCGTGAACGAATCGTTCAATACTCGAGAATCACTTCACTGACTCGTGAATCATGATTCACAAGCCCAACTGACTCACTGACTCATCCCTGTTGCTGTTAGCAAACTAATTCCATTAGTAGAAATATATCTAGCTTATAATTAAAATTGTGTGTGTGTGTGTGGTGTGGTGGGGGGGGAACAACAGCCAGTTTCTTAACAAAAGCATTTCTGCTCTGAACTGGAAGAAAAAACCCTGAGTAGAAGCTCACATCAACAAAATAGCTCCTCGGTTCACAGTACCATCGCTCTGCTAACATGCTAACAGCACATTTGAGCTACTCACCCCCTCCCTTCCTGTGCTGAATAGTAAGCGTAAGCGAATCACTCAGGACTCACTCAC